AAAATTTACATGTGTCTCCCTGATGCTGCCAAAGGAATTGACAATTTAAAGATATTCCGATGTGAACTTTTTATATGTAAATCATGTGAGTTCCAAGTTCACCTACTTAAAATCCACTTATGTAACGAATTATAGTATAATTTTAAGTTAGCTTTCTCATTAAGAATGATTGTGTTCTTCGGATAATGAAGCATATTTATTTATCTAACTATAAAAATATACTTAAGTTATCGAAAATGGGTCAATGTTTTTCAAAACTGCCAAAATAGCTAACTTTGTGCTTTTAAAAAACACGCAAGTACTAGGATAAAAAAAATGTTGATTAAAGTTTAAATTACATATGCTCTGAGACTTTTAAATGCAAAAATCTGATAGATTCGATCAACTTGAAATTTGACTTATTTTCAGGACCGAACACCCCGCTAATAGAACCTGATTCTTTGACGAGAATTTCAACAAATATCATTGACTTTCAGGAATTTTTGATAGTAATCTTTCAGAAATCGGCCATATGCCTGCTTGACGCCACGTCCGCTGTACTCCACTGGGTTGCAAGCTTAATTACCTTCCGAAAATTTTGAGCGGCGACACGAATGCGGCGCAACATTCTTAGAAGGTTTTTTATGGGCAATTCGGCTGAATTATAATTGGCGCTAATTTTTCGAGGAATTGGAGCGGAATGTAGGGCGTCTGGTCTACACTTCTAAAATTAGATACTTTTTAGCATTTTGGACCAATGCCGACGCGGCAGACCACAGGAGCGAACTAAGAGATTGAATTATCACCGCCAAATATAACTTTATGCACTTTGACAAGTACATTGATTTACTTTCCAAGCCATTGTGGAAACTTTTAGAATGTTGATTTATCGTTTTCTTGGCGCTTTATGCTGCAAAAAGAAATACAGGGTGGTCGATATGTAACTGACTGGGATGTATCTTGAATATTTGTGAAATGAAATAGAATACGTCCATCTTAATCTTTTATTGGAACTTAGAAATTATATATGAAAAATAATATCAGACAAATGTCCTCCTCTAGAAGCCGCGCAAACCTGAGCCCTCTTGATAACATTTTTCATCACTTTTTGATAGGTTTAAGAAGGAATATTTTCAATCGCTTTCAGGCCCGTGGATAAGAAATTTCAAAGTTAAGGTTTGCGTTCAAAATCCGCCATTTTGATCTTATAAAATTTACGCACCGACATAACAAATCTAGAGCCATTTATGTTAAAATCCATCAAGTTGTTTAAGTTGTCACCCGTGGAATCGGAATTTCAAAGCTGAAATTTTCGATTAAAAACCGCCATTTTGATTCTGTGAAATTCTAGTATACAATGTTACTCACACAGTCAAGACAAATCTAGAGTTATGTCATACGTAGAACTAATCAAGCCGCTTAAGGTGTAGCCGGTGAAATGGGAACTTCAAGGTTGAATTTTTTTATTGAAATCAGCTATTTTGTTTTTATAAAATTTTGTCCACATACATAACCACGCGCGAATGACATAACCCTTCTTTAGAGGCAAATGGTTAAAAAGGTCTTGGTATTGGTATTACCAACTTTTTGACAACTATATTACCATTTGGGAGCCGTACCATTTGGGGCCCGAAGCATTTTCTTTTTCATCAAAGCCAGTACACTCAGTACTTTAAATTATTCGAAAAGCAAAAAACAGCTCCGACAGAGAAGAACGTGGGCATCGATGAACTCTCAACATTTTTTCAAGATGAGAAGTGGAAACATTTTTCATAGGGCGTCCAAATCCTAAAGGTCCTATCAGAAGTGCTTCTCCTCATGACTCCTTGAAAAAATTAGCTCTGAAAGACACAACACACATGTATTTGTTACTTGATGTACTTTATGAAATTATTGGAAGAATGCGTTACAGTGACAATGACGCAAATAATACCAAATCGAATGTACCCGATTTTTAATAGGTTTTCGTCTCTGGTAGTACCAACGAATTCGAATAGGTAAAGGAAATTGCGTAGTTTTTGTGCATACTTTTGACTAATTTGACTACCATTGCTTTCCAAAGTGAGAACGTTGTATCAGCATAATAATAATACTTACCGGTGGAAAGATCGACCTTCATTAGGCTTGTGCCATTTCTTACATAGTATGCAAGAAGTACCATGTCTTATCTGCAAACACTCGCACTGTTAAAAATAATACTAAAATACAAATTTAATGTCTGAACACTCAAAAAAATCCACTTGGAGACAAACAAATCGTAGGCTTGCTCCTTCTACCTTGTGTGAATTCGTTGAGTAGTACTCTGTGGATCAGTAATACGCTGTATGTAATCCGCTTTCCTTGTTGTACTTTCCACGTTATGTAAAATGCTTGCACTATTTGTTTGGCATGTTTTTCATCAATGCTCATGTTTTTTTTTGTTACAGGAAAAAAACTCGTTTTTGAACTACAACGTATCGTGTATTCTAACGTTGCCGCCTTACCAACGACAAGGGTATGGCAGACTCCTCATCGATTTCAGTAAGTGATTTATTAAAAAATTCCATGTTTTTATTTCACCAATTTAAAAAAAAATATAGGAAAAAGGGAGCTTTGTGGATTCGAAACTCAAATATCAAGTGAACATTGGCAGCACATTAAATCTGTTATAAACAAACTACACCAGATACAACGCTGAAACTTTAAATAATGTATTAAGGACTAATACCGAGCATTTTGGCTAATTTTTCAGACGATCATTTCGCTACAATTAGTGGATATTTGTTTACTGTTTTTTCGTTTTCTCGAGTTTGGAGACGCAGTCGTTTTAATCGTACGATATTTCGACAACAGACATTAATACTTTCAGGAAAAAGGTCCAAGGAATTATATTTCTCCGTAAAGAAACTGGATTTCGTGACCTACTTATGTGACAGTCATGGTTCATGAATAATATAGCCATTTAGCACATGCTGCATACTAACTAGTCTAAGACAGTTTGAAACATAATAATTGTGTCTTCAGTTTGCGTGCTAACTTTATAAATAGTTCAGTGCATTTCAGTATGAAATAATTTTTTTTATAAACCTTAAGACGCATGTGTGACCGTGTAAAAATTTCAGCACTAATTATACAGTGGACCTCCGGTAATCCGACAAACATTATGCAGGGCAGTGTCGGACTATCGAATTTGTCGGATTATAGAGCACTGCCTAAGACCCCCTATAGTCCGGAATTTTTTACAAAAGAGTACCTTGTAATCCGACAAATTACATGTCCAATGGTAAGATTGTTATGTATATGTATGTACTTTGAAGTACAAATCATACATAGTTTATGTATGTCGAATTTAGTAAATTAAATAACAATACAGAGCTTACGTTTTATTATAAAATTAAGCATAAATGCACATACATATGTACCAAAATAATCAAGAATTATTAATCAAAATCATTAATGAATTTGTCAAATTATGAAGCTTGGAAATATTCATCAATTTTTTTTGTTTAAGGTTGTTATAACGCGAGATCAGAGCTTTGTCCCACAGTCTTCTCAAAAGTAAAACTTCGTTGTAGGATGTATCATTCTCTTCAGCCCATTGTAAACCTAGCTCAAAGGCTTTAATTGCGTCTTGTGCTGTGGTGACTTGTAGAGCAGTTGCAATCACGTTGTCGTTATTTTCCTGATTGTTTGTTGTATAATTAGAAACTTCTTTTATAATCTCTTCGTCAGACATTTCATGAAAAAACATTTTCCTCTTTATCCATTCCACGGCACCAGATTTCCAAATCTTCCGGACTTATCTGTGTTTCAGTAGCGACTGGTTCTATAACTTCCGAAGTTACACTGATTTGTGGAACGTTGCTAGGAGTGGTGTCTATATCTGGCCATAACTTTTTCCAAGACGATTTAATAGTTGATGATTGACTGACAAAGAGCAAAAACCAAGTCTTTCATATTAAATTCTTTTAAAGTTTTTTCTATTGGTTGGACTTTTGATACGGCTCTCAGAAGTAGGTTTTTCTTATAGTCTTGCTTGACAATTTGAATGATATTCTGGTCCATTGGTTGAATCAGTGCAGTGCAATTTGGCGGAAGAAACATCGCAGTGATGCATTTATCCTCAGTTGTTAGTTCTTCTTCAGACGGATGACCGGGAGCGTTATCAAGAAGCAACAACGCTTTTTGAGGAAAATTATGATCTTTTAACCATTTTCTAACTTCAGGTACGAAGCATTCATCACTTTCTGAAATGGTCTTTTGTCATCCATGCACTTTTTTGTCCGTAATAGTGTACAGGTAAATCAATGTTTTTGAATGCCCGTGGTTTATTAGATTTCCCAATGACCACCATCTTAAGCGCGTGTGTGCCCGCAGCGTTAGCACATGGTAGTATGGTTACACGCTCTTTACTTACTTTTCGTCCAGGTACGGATTTTTCGTTACAAGAAACGAAAGTTTTGTTAGGCATCACTCGCCAAAAAAGCCCTGATTCGTCTGCATTGTACACCTGTGACGGGTCAATATTTAAATCGTTCATCTTTTGCAAAAATCTTAATTTAAAGGGCTCTATGCCGGTGGCATCGTTAGAAAGTTTCTCTCCTGTAATAGTCATTAAACGTATGCCATGACGACTTTTAAAACGTTCTAGCCATCATCTTTTGTCATCCATGCACTTTTTTGTCCGTAATAGTGTACAGGTAAATCAATGTTTTTGAATGCCCGTGGTTTATTAGATTTCCCAATGACCACCATCTTAAGCGCGTGTGTGCCCGCAGCGTTAGCACATGGTAGTATGGTTACACGCTCTTTACTTACTTTTCGTCCAGGTACGGATTTTTCGTTACAAGAAACGAAAGTTTTGTTAGGCATCACTCGCCAAAAAAGCCCTGATTCGTCTGCATTGTACACCTGTAACGGGTCAAGATTTAAATCGTTCATCTTTTGCAAAAATCTTAATTTAAAGGGCTCTATGCAGGTGGCATCGTTAGAAAGTTTCTCTCCTGTAATAGTCATTAAACGTATGCAATGACGACTTTTAAAATGTTCTAGCCATCCTTTGCTAGATACAAAATCATCTTTTTTTGTTATTTCCTTATAAAGAACTTAGCTTTCATGGACAACATGGGTCCTGAAATTGGTGCATGCCTATTTCTTTCCTGAAGAAACCACATGTACAAAGCTTCTTCCACTTCTGGATGTTCAGCTTTCTTGAGTGGCTGTCTCTTGGCTGGCCCGCAGTCAGTAGTTGACACGAACTTCTTGATCGTCTCGTGGTTTCTTTTAATGTCATAATGTAGATCGGCCTACGTCGTATTCACTTGCTAAATTACTGAAAGTTTCATTGCGATTTAAGTGGTCTAAAATACCACATTTTTCTTTAATTGTCAATGTTTTGTGCTTTCGCTCCTGAGTTTGTGATGGCATTACTAGGTACTATACTTAATACGCAATGAATAAATAGTAAACAATGAACGCACGCTAGGCCGTACCGCTATCACAAGTAGTCAATTTCAAACTAAGTAAAACAATGCTTCCGCGTCGAGCACGATAGCGGTGGCGCGTACAAGTTGTAACCTGTTCAAACCTTCGTAATCTACATTAGCGAAGATTGTCAAATAGGTGTTTTGGGATAAACAATTAGAAATTCTGGAAAACTTCTTGACCAATCTACTCCAATTTTGTTGTGGTTATTTAGAAGTATGAAGCGTACAAATTTGAAAAATTTCAAGTATCTGTTTAACTCCACCGTCGCGTTTCCAACAAGTGCCAAAAACTGCATTTTGACGTTTTCGGTCATAACTTTTTTGCTATGAGTCCGATCTGTTTATGTGTGGTCTCATTTTGTAGATTTTGTAAATACCAAAAAATCTTATTTGGGGAGTTTTTTTCTGCCAAAACTTTCGATTGAATCCCAAAAAACACATTTTCTCATTCTTTGTTGTCGATTAAAAAGTTTTCCCACAAACTTGCATCAATAAAACCAAACTTTACAATTATTTCCCAAACATGGGGTATTTTCGTCTAATAGACTACAATGCTCTAACGTCTCTGTGCTAGCTTGCACACTCTTATTTTGTCATGCTAAATCCTATTTTCCTTTCCCAGACGTCCCCCCATCCGTTTCTGATTATCCTTCCAGCTTTCATCGTCTGAAACTTTTTTTCTGCCTTACAGATCCAACGTTTCCAGCCTTATTACATTACCCCCGTTAAACATTCAGTAGTGAATACCGGCGTAGTCTGGTTGTGCCGCCTGGGGACCCTCGCAGATTACAGGTGCGAAAAGGTGGAATTTTCATCTGGGTTGCTCTGTGGGGATATCCGGAGTTATTTTCTTATTCCGCTTTCATGACTCCGATATGGGTTCACTTACAACGGGTTTTTTTATACTGTGCGGTGCCGCGGTGTAGCCAATGAATGCTTTTGATTTAACAACATATTATTGTAGATAGAAATTAGAAAAAATCTAATATTTTCTTTAGTTCATTTTTTATACTCCCCTAATATAATTGTACAGGGTGTCCCACTGCATTGATCGATTTCTTGGAAAGTTGATATCAGACTATTATTAAAACCGGGGTTATAGGATGGAGGACGGAAGCAATTTAGATAAAATATTTTCAAAACAGTAGCGCGTGGCTTCCGAAATACAAGGTGTTTAAATTTACTTTCTAAAATAGTTTTTTTAAATATTTCGAACAATATTTGATGTATAACAGTGAAAATTGGTATACAAGGGTTTTTTGGTACGACAAAACGAACCATGGGCAAATTTTTACCGTAGCCGCTAGAGAGCGCTCTCTACTGTACCTGTAGTGTAATAAAATGACCGAAAAATTTTTCTTAGGGCAATTTTTTGCTTTTTGAATAAAAAAACTGATTCTTCGCACTTTTCAACATAAAAAAGCTCTCCTGTGAGTTTTCGTTATAGTTAGCCGTTTTTGAGATATTTCGATTTTTAAGGTTCAATGCATTTTTAATTATTTATGGGAAAATAATATTTCTTTTTACATTTTCGATTTGGGCATTACAAGTAATTAAGATTATCTAACTCCAAATAAACACAAAAAACAATATTAATTTGTTTAATTTTCCAATATTATTTTTAACAACTTAAATTAATTATTTACAACTAAAATGCTATTGGATAAATAGGACAAACATACACAATCTAAAGTAGTTGCTCGAAATGTAAACCCAATTGTTCAATACACAATTCACTACAATCTACGAATGATCGAACGTGGTATAGCATCATTCAAATAAGGCCTTATTTCATCACATGCATTCCTGATTCTGTCTATTAGCATATCTCTTGTGGTTACGGGAGTCTGGTACACTTTTTCTTTTAGAAATCCCCACACAAAGAAATCTAATGGATTTAGGTCAGGGGATCGTGGAGGCCAGGCGACTGGTCCTCCACGGCCGATCCATCTTTCTGGGTAATTTTCGTCCAGCCAGTTTTTAACTATTCTCGAATAATGAGCTGGGCAACCATCAGGCTGGAACCAGGCCAATCTTCTTAAATCTAACATAACATCATCCCACATATTTGCATGTTCAGCCTTTAAAAATTCCAAGAAGGTCGCAGCATTTAACCTTGCAGCCAAAAGGTAGGGTCCAAATAGTCGATTACGGTTGATATCAATCCACACGTTCACACTAAATTCATGCTGAAAATTTCTTTCCCGAACTGCGTGCGGATTTTCATGCGACCAAATATGTTGATTATGAAAATTTACCACTCCACGTCTAGTGAAGCATGACTCATCGGTCCATAAAATGTTACTTAAAAACTCCCTATTATTATCAGTTTTATCAAGAATCCACTGACAAAATGTGATTCTTCGTTCTCCGTCCCCTGGCTGTAGTCATTGATCATGGTACATGGCTTGCTGAAATTCCCAAGGCACCAGAAACTCTCCTAACACTTGTGGTCGGATCTCTATCAAACTCACGCAGAATCATACGGGTAAATCTGCGCTGACGAACATTTATGTTTTGATACCTTTTCTGCTGCGTTTCCATTTACAAAGCCGTACACAAAATGAATATCCGCTAACTCTTGATTGGAGAATAAAAATGACATTTTTATAAAGCTTACAAAAAAAAAACAGGTAAAAGAAACTAAATTTCGCGCATTCACAATTGCAAAAAAACGTTTCAGGTTTCAACAGACAACAAAACTAAATGTCAAATAATTGACGTTTAACCTTATTCTGCTTTCAATTTCAAAAATATTTGCAGGCTCAGCCTACTTCTAAAAATTATCGAGATACTGACTTTTTAACGTTATTTTATCATAAATAATTAAAAATGCTTCGAACCTTAAAAACCGAAATATCTCAAAAACGGCTAACTATAACCAAAACTCACAGGAGAGCTTTTTTATGTTGAAAAGTGCGAAGAATCAGTTTTTTTATTCAAAAAGCAAAAAATTGCACTAAGAAAAATTTTTCGGTCATTTCAATACACTACAGGTACAGTAGAGAGCGCCCTCTAGCGGCTACAGTAAAACTATGCCCATGGTTCGTTTTGTCGTACCAAAAAACACTTGTATACCAATTTTCACTGTTATACATCAAATATTGTTCGAAATATTTAAAAAAAACTATTTTAGAAAGTAAATTTTCGATGTTTATATAGACTTTATACATTAATTTTAATAGTTCTATCGAATCTTAAAGTTATGCAACAATAAACTGAAACACCCTGTATAGAGAAAACCAAATTTATCTGACGGCTTGAGTTCAATGTGTACGAGAGAGAAGTGAGTATCAACACATGTCAGAAAGAGATAGAAGCCGGCTGAAGAGAAGAGTAGATCATCACTACATTGCCTAGCAACGGTGCAGAATATCGTAACAATCTGCCGCGTTGCCAATATATTACATCAGAAAATGTCGCACAGGCTAGGTTACTGTCAAACCCAAGAGGGAGGCCTGTTCGAACGTTTAATTTAATATTCTGTTTTCATTTTGATTAGAATTATCTATTTCAATTTTGATGCGACCCTGTGTTTTAATTTATTTTAGAATTATCTTTGATTTCCACCGACAGTGTCAAAATCAACACATCCTGAGTTATTTTCACATTTTGCGGCAGCGAGCGTCGGAGGAGGTAACAAATATCATGCGCAATACAAATTATCTTTGCCTGCGTGTACGCAGGTGAAAATCAATTCCATAATGGACGCTAGACGGGTACTGATCAACATCGCTCATCTGTGATCATGGAGGTGGGAACCTTGCCTTGGAATGTACGAGATGCGGTATAACCAGGCGATTCAATGTTGCAGAATTTATGGCGATCCTGACCTTTCATTTCGACCTGAAATAAAGCGCCATTAGGACCGATCCGGAATCGATCCTAGACAGAGTCGGCACAATTCACAATTCAAAAATATGTACGCTCAGATTAAAATTATTATTTGGGCGTAGAGAATAAGCTAACGCATATTATCAACATGCATCTGCATTCAAGGAACAGAGGAGTAGATTTCCGCGTCAGCGTTGCTGGGAAACGCGGTGATGAGCTTCGCTATCCAGACGGCTTCTAGCTCTTTATAAAATATGTATCTATACACACTTCTCCCTCGTACACATTGGACTCAAGCCGTCAGACAAATCTGGTTTTCAGGGTATAACACTATTAACATGTGAAGATCACAAAACCTCGAGAATTCTATAAACGTCATGAAATATATAGAACTCTATGAAATTCAAACTGTGACCTAACGCGCTATACATGGTGTTATACATTATCATCCCTTAGCTAACTCTTTTTGAGACATCCCAATCTTTACATAAAAAATAAAAAATGAATTATAACATTTGTTCAGGTACTTTTGCTTCTACCGTATCACTTTAGTAGATTTTATTCCGGATATGGATAACAAACAAGGTGAGGAAAAAAGAGAAAGATTTTAGAAAACACAAAAAGTCATTTTTAAAATAGAAACCACCTTTTTCTATAATATCATCGTATCGATCATTGAAAATAAAGGTTAATTTTGTACAACGTTGTTTACTCCACAAATCAATAGTGTTCGAGATTATATACAAATATATCTATTGATTAAATAGTTCATACTTTGTTATGACAGTCATTATTTAAATGGGTGATAGATGGGCTAAAAGAAGCAAAAAGTTTCACATAACATGGGGATCAAAACGGCATTTTTTTTATAAAAAAGCGACTTTAAAGTAAAATAAAATCTGACAACGCCGCTCTGGCACGACGGAACGCAGTGTAAATAAAGATCGAGTTTGTTATTTTTGGCTCTTAGCTTTAATTTCATTATTTGGTAATGTACTCGTAAAATGCGAACAATTAAAAAAAACGAACTTACCACTACTGTCTCAGCGCT